AATTACTGGCTGTTGATATGTCAGTCGTCACTTGCCTGATTAATATCCCACCAAGGATTCCCTAACAACTAATCAAATAATTAATAGATATACATACATATTTATTACTTTGAAGCTGCCGAACAGCTACAAGTTTTTTCTTTTTCTAGTAATTTGAAGCTGCTCAGTAGTAAAACGGGGAAATGGACCAGTGGTAAGCAGTTAAGTTACAATCAACTATTTATACTTTTTTGCATTTAAAAGATTAAGAGCTTTCTTAAAGTTTATTAAAATAGGTATATGTACATAGTTATATAGTTAACCATTTATATTAGTTAAGATGTTTACTTATATAAAAGTTTGTAAGACAATAAATTATGCAGCATTGAAATGCTGTTGGAACCTTTAGTCGTGTTTTCATTTAAGAGTCATTACAGCCACTACCTTTGATCACATATTTGCTGATCAATAATCCCGTGAATACCTAATTAAAATGTATTACATTGTCATTATTATTGTACTATCATTGCAATACAGGTGATGGGGAGGTGAAATTCATACGGAGCCAAAAAAAGAATGCCCAGCTAGTCTACAATGGTTACATATACAACAAAAAACTTACCCAGGCCAATGGACAAACAACGTGGCGTTGCATTGACTTTCTAAAGTTGCGATGCAAAGCAGTTGTCATTACAAAAAAGAATATATTGGTCGCAGCGCGACGTTCTCACAGTCATGAAGATCACGTGCAACGTATAGGTCAACGGCCATTGTATAATATAGAGGAAGACCTTGGCGAATACATTGAAATTAAACCTGAAGACCCGAAACTAGCTGACTTCATGAGTGTCTCAAATATTGAGATATGCCCCCAAAAGAGTGGCAAGGAGTATAAGCTATTCGTGCCGACTCCAGCAGTACGAGCTACCACAACAATATGGCCGCAATAAGATAAAATATCTCTTACATATGAACATATATAAAAAAAAAATCAAAGAAGCTTAAAAGAATAAAATATTAAAATAATTTGTGTACTATATCACGTCTCGTGCTTATCCTATTCCTAAATTCTCTTAGCAACATAAAGTTAAACTGTTTTCACAGTCAGATGTACATATTTTTCGCCATATATGAAAAAATGGCATCTTAATAAAAAAAAATAATAATAATAAAAATAAATAATAAAAGATAGTATAACTAATATAATCAACAACTAATTAGTATAACTAATATAATAAAACTTCCCTTAAACACTTAGAAACATTTTATCCTTTAAACTAAATATTATCATTCTTTGATTGCTTTTATTACAGACACAAATTTGATGTTTATTGTTAGTCCCTGGGCTACACCGTGCCTGGTTTTGCGTAATTACATGTACAACTGCCACAGTCGAAAGAATAGCAAAGAGTATTGGCGCTGTCACAATTATTCCAAGAAGATACAGTCGGAACGATGTCGGGCACGTTGTGTCCTGGAGTATGGCAAACTGAAATCTGAGTCTGGAGGACTGCACAATCATCCACCACATACTGAAAAAATCGAAAAAATGATTGAACGTAATCGCATGGTTGAACTGAATATTGCACACGGCGCTGGCAACGCCGGAAGCAGAACCATTGGAGCACTGAAACAGAATCGACGGCCGTTAGCGGTGTCTCTACGAGTACAACATGAACCGGGAGATGAGCTGCTCGACACGTTGATAAATAACAAATATAATAATTAGAGTTTCTAATTTTAATATGATTGGTACTTATACGTTTATTAATTAAGAGTTTTCTGTGCAAATAAAGCGGCAGAAATCTGTTGAAATGATTGCATGTTACCAATGTCATATGGTCATGTTATATTTATATTATGATTAATTATATTAAAATAATCGCATAATTTTGAATTTATCGCATATCCAAATTTCTACAAACATAATTATTTAAAACTATATTGACACATTACAGATATTACAACAAATATAGGAGGTGACGAACACTTGGATGAAACATGCACTTATGATGTCGTTGAAAATCGAGTCAATTATCGTTCAAGTTTAAAAGGAACTTATCAACTGGTTTTAGACGGGTTTCCTTATTCTAGACACCGTATACGTGGCGGTACAATTTATTGGCGCTGTGTGCAGTTTCGCCCCTTGAAGTGGGTATTTTGGAATTTTCTTAAATATACATATATGTACATATATACATTACAGATGCCGAGCTAGAGTGCGTACTAATCCGGCTGGTGATCGTGTTTCAATAGTGGACGAAGACCACAACCATGCCATAGTGAGAGAGCGGCGTAAGAAGGGCACACTCAAGTGTGTTTATGAGCAACGAAAGCTGGAACAAAGTCGCTGCTTTAAATAGCAGTTATACCTGTGATTAATTTAATATTTACCTTTAAATAAGAATTTAAGATGGTGTACTTGTCGGTTTTTGTCGTTGCCCAACATAAACTTTATAAGATATAATTCATCAAATTACGATTATAGTACATTCAATCTGGCATATGCGGTCGCAAATGGTCGGCGCTGGATGAAACTTATGTATACCAAAGTGTTCAGAAAATTACCCTGAACAACCAACATATAAAACTGTTATCAATTAATTAAAAACCGATGAAAAATTAACGTCAAAAAAACTCAGAATTTATGATATATGAACCCTATTAAGGAAATAAAATTATTAGAATATAGAGCAGAAAATTCTCTACAAAAAATTTCGCAATAAGCGATGCTTAGAACAAACTGTTTATTTGCAATTATGTAATTCGTAACAAATCAGGTTAATTTTCTGAACACTTTGGATATAATTTCATCCAGCGCAGACTACTCATAGGTACATATATATCGTCGTTTAAAGTGCAAAACTGCGTATCAACAAAATGCAAAACCGCGTATGTAAAGTTGTAGAAACTATTTTCTAGTGCGTAAAAACACTCATATTTCAAAATGGTTCTCTTTTTTATAAAGCAATCGCATTTCTGGCGGGTATATTTCAGGACGAATGGATAAGGATTGAGCCAAGAGCTTGTGTGAGCGAATCCAATTTTTGGCAGCCAATGTCAGTTACGCGGTTTTGCAGAATGACGATACGCGGTTTTGTACTTTAAACGACGTTATATATAGTTACCATTTCTAGATTGACTGCACAAGTGACGAATATACATAACTAAATTAGAAATCATTTTGTTTTATATCTGCAAAATATATTGACATATTTGGGAATTAAAATTTGTCTTTGACCGATTTCGAAAATATTCGGAAATATTGTATTGAAAATTTGTATTTTCAATAAGAGCTTTTCGTAAGAAAAACTTTTTATCTTGTACAAAAAAAAAGTGTTATGTACATATCGTTTAAAGTACAAAGCCTCGTATCAACATAATGCAAAACCGCGTATGTGAGGCTACGTAAATTAATTTTTAGAGATTAAAAACATTCATATTTCAAAAATTGTTCTCTCTTTAATAAAGCAATCGCATTTCTGGCTAGTAAATTTGAGGACGAATGGATATGGTTTGAGCCATAAGCTTCGGTAAGCAAATCCAATTTTTGGCAGAAAATGTCAGTTACGCGGTTTTGCAGAACGACGATACGCGGTTTTGGGCTTTAAACGACCATATGTATGTCTATGTACGTAAAAAACTTATCAAACTATGTTCAAATACTTTTTTATTGCCTTATAGATTCATCAGGCAGCATTGCGGCTACTGCAGAATGTTTTGCGAAGCTGAAGTATAATTATCGAGGTCAACTAGTCCACAGTGGTTATACTTATTCCGTGCATGCGAAAAATGGTAGCACATGCGTGGTGCATTGGCGTTGCTCTGATTATGCCAAATTCCGCTGCCGAGCCAATTTAAAGACGCGTCGCAAAGTTTTGGAATCAGTGCGGGGCACACACAATCATCCACCAAAATATCCACAAAATATTTGTAGCCCAATAGTATTAAAATAATACTTAAAATAAAGTACTTATGTTCAATTTTTTCTACTAGTTCAATAGCATTTATTTAAGCAAATAATAATAATAATAAATAAATAAATAATAATAATAAACTTCATTTTACTTAATTTTGAATTATATATTTTTCTCTGACTCATATGAAATCCATCTACATATGTATTACTAATCAAGTTTTATGCATTTCAGTTAACAAGCGAAAATTGGATAGGCGCGTCCGGGTAGTAATATCGGCAGATTTAGCTAGCCAACAGCAGCAACAATCAAGACAGAAAGCGGCTCCAGTCGAACAACTACACCTACTGCCTTTTACAAAATCGTTGTATTCGGAAGTGAAAACAGGCGAAACTATTTTGAAAACATCTTGGAATAATCACAAACTAACGAAAATAAGTAAGCCACGCATGCGCGGTAAGTGTGTGCATTGTCTGAAGAAGGCATCCGGTGATCAGCCGGATCTAAATAAAATAACTACATATTGCCCACAGTGTCCAGGTGGCTTGTGGATGTGTTTGGAATGCTTTGATCAAGCTCATTAGGAGAAATTGTATTTATTCATGATAAACCTCAATACATACTGAGGTCATTCACGCTTGCATGGTTATTAATTATTATTGTGTAAAATAAATTAAAAATTATTATTGTGTAAAATATTATTGTTGGAAACTGAATTAAAAATATAACCACATAAGCTGATAACCAAGCAATCCTAAGAATTATGTGAATTTAGTTCTGGAAAACTCAAGGTGTATTAAACATATTGATATAAAAAATTAAATAAATATTTGGCACTACAATATTTGCATAGGATGTAGCTGAGCTTGTACTTCAATTTCTGTTATACGTATTGATGTATTAACATATAATTTTACGTCGCATACGAAGAGGCTTGTATGCTGCTACGACAACAACAACAACGCTTACCTTGAACCACCACTAAACTGGAGTAATGAAAACCAATTTATTAGCTTTAACCTAAAAAACACAACCTCCTACACGAAGTATAACTTTAATTAAAGCACAATTCTGACTTCCAAAACGTCAATTGCTTTGCATACGTACAAAGTATAAGGTTCCATAACATCGAACTACAAAATATTGGCAATGTATACTGTTCCAAAACGCATTCGAAAAGTTATCGAAACGCAACGCTAGAGCAATCAGCGCATCAGAAACAAAGTTGATGATTCGTTTGGTGTTTTATAAATGGAAAATTCAGAATTATTGTTCATTGCTATATTGAATATTTAAAATATGCAATGTATATATGTATATGGTTGCAATGTGCCGCAACTCTGCATATACAAACAGCTTGAATACCGCAGTATAACAGTTACCAAACATTGTATTGATACGTTTTGGAAGTCAGCCTAGCAAAATTGCTCCATATCCCAGCCCCTGTGCATGTAGATATTTTATAAATTCATTTATAAAATCATCTATTTCCGTTTTTGTAAATACCTCGATAACTTGTATCATTGAAAAAATAAATATAAACAACTTTAATTTGGTCTCGTTTCGATCGGTTAACGTACTTTCCAGATAGTAGAAACAAGTTTCTTTTTTTTTTTTTAAATATCCTACACTTTGAAGATCTTACTTCATTAAATCTTTTATAGCCAATTATTAATTGTCACTATTACAATATCATGAAATAACTTTAATTTTCTTTCTAATAAGTAACTTCTATTTACTACTTCTTTATGTACCTTTATTAGGAGACATTTGTTGGCTTTATGTCGGGCTTCGCGTTAAGCTTGGTTTCCCCATCCACTTTTCGGGCATAATTCTTTTGAATGAAAGAATGGTTGTGGTTCGCATGTAGCACTTCCAGCTCAGAATTTTTTGTGGTGCGTACTCGTGCCCTGCATTTCGTTGTCGATCTGGTAGAACAAATCCATTTAACACCTTTTGAATTCTCCATGAACTTAACATACTGATAACCACCATAGACGAGCTTAATGGATTTTCTTTGCCCATGCGTGAAATAAAACTGTTGACTGCTTACTTTAGCTGTGGGCACTTCCACTAAAATGACAAAGTACATAGGTTCATATTAGTTAGGTTAAGTAAAAATACATATCAATGATATACATAACGTCCAACATTTGCGCCCAGAAAACAAAAATTTCAAGTTACTTCTTATTTACTACATGGTCTTTGTAGATTTTATTCAAATCATTATTTCAGATCAGTTTTAAGAAATAAAAGGAAGCGGCAACACGAAAATTAAATAAAAGCATAATAAAGTTGTAATTAAGATTGTAATAGTTAATATTGACGCAATCGCTTAATTTCATACATACTTTATAAATTATTTATTCAAATCTTTCTTCACAATGATACTTGGCTCGGCTATTTCAGTGACATCGGCCACAATTTCTTCATATTTTAAATGCATTCCTAAGTCAGACACATCTATCGGATCTGTCGCTTCGACGCCAACTTCAACTGTGCTCGCTCTCTCTCCTGCTGCTGCAGACACTTTCTTCTCCTTTTTAATTGCAGATGCAGGAATAATAGGCGGTATCCTGCGCGTACGTTTCTTGCGACGCACTATTTCTTCGTGAGTGTGATAACGATTGAGCGGCATGACAATATCGTTGATTGTGTAAACACGAGAGCGACACTTTTGGTTCCACCATTGGTTACAGCGCCAAAACTTTTTCTCTTCGCCTGTGGACAATTTCAATATTTTCTCAAAGATAAACGGTTGGCCCCCATAGATCAACTGCACACGTCCGCGAGATGTGGCCGAATAAATAGCAACGCTGCCTACTGGTAAATAAAAAGGGAAAGAGTTGGAAAAAAAACAAAAGCGTGTTAGTACAAATTTGTGCATAAAATAGGCAAAAAATACATTATTTCTTATATTATAAGCAGGTACAGGAAGAATAATACAACCTAAGTGTGACAAACCACCATTATAAGTTTTATTGAATTGAATTGAATTTATTATTAAATTAAGTTTAAAGTGATTTTTCGATCTTTCTCAGCACACGAGGTGAGGGTTCATGATTGTGCTCGGGCTTAGTTAGACACACCCTGAACAGACCGTTTGGTTGTTTTGTTGTTGTGATGCGAGCCTTGCAGGGCTTCTGGCCAACGCGTCGGCTACGACAGTTCCAATAAGTTGTATTACCGCAAACATTGTTTTGTGCATACGTGAAATTGTTGAAGCACAGCAAAGATTTGCCTCGTTGTCCTGGAATGAACCTGAGATTCATATTCTTTTGGGTTAGAGCCAATGAGGATGTTTTGCTCTCTTTATCGGCACAATTATCGGCTGTGTTCGATTTTGATGAACTAGTGTTGGTGACCACGGTTGACAGCGTCCAATTGCCTATAGGTTAATTGTTTAGGTTAATTAAATTTTCTTTATGTGTTTGCATACTATAGGTATATATCATCATAGGTATATATTTTTTAAAAGATTAATTCATGATTTACATCTACAGTGAGTGACTTTGAGAATATGTCTGCTTTTTATTTTGTACTATTTATCTGTGCTATTTGCTTTTTATTTTGTACCATTTATCTGTGCTATTTGCAGCATATATGTAGTATTCTATTACAACGGGCGAGGAAAGAATTTATTAAATTGCGGCTGAAAAATAGGTTCAGCTGCAGACTGCGGATAAAGTGTTTGTAGCTGTAGCTGTTGAAATTGTTGTAGGTGGAGTGGATGAAGACACTGCAATGATTGTGCAGGTCGATGCCGCTCCATTAATGGTTCAGTTTCTTCATTCATTGGCGTCTGCAATGACTGCATCAGTTTCAAGTCTTCAGCTGTATACATTGGTTTGTGTGTGTGGTTATCTGAGGTTATATGGATCACATCTCCCTTAGAAGTATGTCGCGTGACAAGTCTTGCGCGACATTTTGCTTTATGATACATGGAACACTTCCAGTCTCGCGAGTGGCGACCATCTCGTACCTTTTCATTGGGGGTGTAAGTGTTGTATTCGTGTAGCACTAAATGAGTGCCACGACGTGATCGTACGTACTGCACAGGTGCTTTTGCGGCTGGAAATATAAAAAATAACACATTAGTAAAGAAAGAAACAAAAATCCACATTAACTCCACGAATAATGGGAAGCTGGAAAATTATAGATTTTTATGAAAATTATGAATTTATTGCATTTGATTTGAGTTAGAAGACGTACAGAAATCACATACATATGTATACACTTAAATTATGTGCCGTGGGGTGGTGCCTTTCTTAGATGGAAAACATTGCTGATCTGCTGTATGGTTATGATTATCGTGCCGTAATCTCAAACTCATTGTATCCTTAAGAAGAACTGCACGGGCGCGACATTTTTGCCGAAAATTGGCGCACTTGAGGTAGTATTTACTAGCCGATTGTGATCCAATCACAAAGCGGAAATTTTCTATTATTGTATATTTGCCAATAGAATCCGGACATTGCTGCACTGTAAAAAAAAAAAAACAAATTGAATATAAGATAGGGAAATTTTAATAACGTGTTAAGTAGTTTAGAAAATAAAATAGTTTAAAGTTAAATACAGAAAAATGTATGCTTTGGACAATATACATACATTTTTACATACATATGTATGCAGTATATTTAAAAATATTTTTAAATTCTCTTTGTACATAAAAATAATCAATTTGTGTCTTCGAGGAGCCTACCTTCAACCCTTCAATGAATTGGTGAATGATTATGAGACCTACGACTTAGTTTAATGCAGTTCTGACCCGCGGTCACACAGCGTGCCGGACAGCGCAGTACATGGCTACTGTTTTTACTGCATACCCAGTTTATGGTAGAGTTATACCTTCGTTCAGCAGTATACATGTAACCATGATAAAGAAGATTAAGTCCTCCTCGCCTGTTGCGTTTGAAATTAAATTCCGCTTCGATCCAAGACGCATTTGTACCTATAGATTTAATTTTATTAGTGAGCCATATAAACAAAGGTGCTGCTGGAAGCAAATTACGAAAAACCTTTACAAAACACTTTATGATAATGATTTAAGCTTATATGTACATACATTCATTTAATCTATGTTCGTATTTATTTGAGTGAGCATATTTTATTATAATTTTATAAGTGGTTGTGATCGCCACGCAACGACGCAATCTGATCATGTTTTGTGATAACGCGTGCTGTGCATTTGGTGTACTTGCAACGCAGTTTCACACATTCCCAATAACACACATCTTTTATACGTCGATTTAATGTATATGGTTTGCCGTTAATTGTTAGCAAGTTGTTGCCGCGTACGCTACGGGTGAAGCAAACGTCGAGATCTTCATATTTTGGTTTTCGCTGGTATAATCTGCCCGTTTCCACGCAAAATAGAACACCACCGGCAGAACGTGATCCATATTCTGTAAAAGATAATAGTTTTTCTGTTTTAATATTAAATTAAAACATAGTGACACAATAACATAATTCACACATATGTATGTATAACTAAACACATTAAATTTAGGTTTAAGAAAGTTAATTTATTTCGATATTGTCTTAGCTCGCTTTAGGATATTTTAATATAAATACAAGATTAAAAAGCAAACATTTATTAACTTCCTTTTTCTTGTACCTAACGCATCGACTTAAATATAATTTGTTGCCTATAAGAACCCTTTAGCAACGAAGTTCGCGCAAACATTCTCATTTGGCATGTTATTATCCAACACTTTCATATCACTTTGAATTTTTCACAAGTAAATAGTATATTAAAACTTAGCCAATGTTCTTATTAACAAATTAATTTCTACCTCTTATTAAAGCACATAAAATTTTCTAATCCACTTACAACAAAAAAAAAGAATTGAAGCATCGCCGCCATGTAGAGTTGCCAAGGGTTTCAATTTGATTCGCAGAGTTGCTTAAACTGTACCAATATTTACAAATTTTAAACTCTATTAGGGGTCTTCATCTAAAGTGATAAGCCCTTGATGAGCTTGATAGAGTGATAAATTTATCATTTTAATAAATAAACTGCCAAACTTTATAGGGAAATCTATTTAACCAAATTTTATTACTTTACCAAACGGTTTTGGTGGATAAATGTATAAATTTCAGCGAAATTCAAACCCTACAGCTTGCCAGCGCGTGAAGACGGCCGGTAAACTAACATCTCAGACTTGAGCGCAACAATCATTCTTTTCTTAAACCGAGTATATCGATCATCGATATGTTTATGGGAACTTTGGTTTAGACGACAACAAAGATTATAATTCATCTAAAATGTGAAGTTTTTGCGCTTTTTTTTTCCTTTTTTGTTAACTAAAGCCATTTTATTTGTGTTTTTAGGTAAACATTTCCGGAAATGTTGTCGAATGTTGGACTAGTGAAATAAAAAGTGTGATAAGTGACACAGCGCAAATTAATGTAATGGACTTTCATTCAAACCTACATATTTACATACAATATAAAGCGTGGTCTAAGAGGAAGGCAATTCCCAAATGTGATTACTAAAATATTGTGTTGTAAATGAAGTTAGATTGTAGAAACTGTATTGTAATTAAATGTATAGACCTAAGTTTAACCAAATAAATTGTATCTTTGCCTCTTAGGACTTTCATACTTTTATCACTTTTAGTTTAAGGCGGTATACTCACTAATTTTACCAGAAATTTCATTAGCTTCATTGTTTTGCAGAAAACCTGAAGGCACGGACTAATAATAACCAAAAGACCAAGTCTTCCAAGTCATCGGTCGCAAAAATCCCCCTACATGCTGGCAGTAAGGTTTATGTATCTAAGTATGATTTGGCTAAAATATTTATACCCAACGCTTGTATCTACACTTCGCGTTTAAGTGAATTGGTATTTGGATTTGATGTTTTGGAGAATATAGCGCGTTCAAATGCAAAACAACGACTGCTGATGCTCGATGAGAGCTTACTCAAGTCGATCATAAGTAATTTCACATAACACTTGCAAATGAAGTTGATAAAATATAACACTATAATTATTTTCATTTTTAATAGCTCACGTCGTACAGGTATTTTCAATGAGAGGGGAATGCATAGATGAGAATACAGTGCTATCGTTCATACAACACAAGATCAGGAGCATGTCGAATGTGGCATCATCAGCCTCAAGTCGTTAATATTCCAAAACTAATTGGACATTTGAACACAGTCAACAGTCATTTAAGTTAAAAAATTTCCATTTATAACTACGTGTTGCAATTTTCAATATTAAATAAAAAAGTAATAAAATATGTAATACCACAAATCATCTAATTAATTCTCGATCCTAAATATACATATTGAAATATTACCATTATACTATTATTATTTAATATTTTTATTACCATTTCTTTTCAGATTTAAAATTTATTTTAGAGGATAAAAATACAACTACATATTTACAATACTCTACCACCCAGCGCGGACGTGTTATGCTTATCTACAACGGTTATCGCTATGTAGAAAATCGTCAGAGTCACAAAAACATATTTTGGCGCTGTTCACGATATGTAAAGTATGGCTGCAGGGCCACCGTTGTAACGTCGAAATTACACGACGATGTGTCGGCCATACGTGTTACTGGTTCGCCCCATACACATGATCCTGAGATGAAAACGGACAATCTCGTTGATATATCACCTGATTTTATTGACGAATCAAAGGGCAGCTTGTTACGAATGGTGTCATTACTAAGCGATCTGAAGTAGGAAATTCTTCGATATCAAAAGCCTAATATTAGTTTTTTTCTGTAAAAATTAAGTGCAATAGCGAATTAGAATAAAGCACAGCAAATTAACTTGTAAGCTATTTACGCCTAGAAAATTTTAAATTAATTTCCAAAATATCAAAATAAAATTTCGGAATATTTGAAGTTTTTATTTTGTATGTGTATATCAAAACCGAACTCAAGTTTGCTAATGCAAACAAATGTTTATACATATTTATTAATAATTCTCTGTGTTTTTTCCTGTGTTTTTTAGTTAAAGAAACGTTAACGTTGCCGAAAATACTTGATGGAAAGTTTTACAGAGATGTGCAACCAAATCTTAAAACTGTGGGTGGAATTCAAGCGACATGCACCACTTGTTTGGGCACAATATCTGGCACAACGAAATCTACAGGAAACTTTTTGAGTCATATTAAGAGACGCCACAAGGATATAATAGCTACTTGCCAAATGTATTGTCGAACAAAGGTGCAAAATTTGAACGCCGTTTTATCGAATACTTACAATGACGATTCTGACAACATCAAAAAAGAAAAAAGTATGAAAGAACTTAAACAAGAACCCCTAAATGTAGCAATATATACTGCCACTGGAATATTACCTCAACATCAAATTCAAGGTCAGCATGGCATTGCTACACCAGCATTCTTTTGGCACAAATCATTACCAGTGGCTCCAAATTCTATGGCAGTTGCTGCAACGATGCAATATCGGAAATTCAATACGGATATGCAACCAACATTTAAAAATCGAGAAAATTAAAGTGTACATCTGCCAGAAGTCTGTTAGTATTATTTTTATTCAGTGGTCGAAAATAATGATCTCTTAATGAACTGTCAATAGACATAGGATCAGCGAAAGAAATGCATGTAAAATATCGGATATGTACTTGTGTATTATGTTCTCCATTATGGCTCCATGCCTTGCCGAAGCCGAAATTTCGATATAACGAGCAAAAATACATAAAAAAAATTAGTTTTTTAGCACATCTCACATAATCTTAAGTAATAAAGTTAAACTGTTTTCCCAGTCAGATGTACATATTTTTCGCCATATATGAAATAATGACATCTTATTTTGAAAAATTGAGGTGTTTTTCGCCTTGATTGATGATACATTCTCCCAGGTAGAGTATGTTTTTCCCAGCATTGACGTCTCGATTTCAACATGTACCACATTTTGGGCAAAATTGGTACCTGTGGGGCGAAGTGGACGTCAAGTTTATGTTGTAACACTCGGCACAAAGTTTTGTTGTCCGGAATTCGTTCACCATTAGGATGTCTGCTTTGCGTTGTTTTATTTCTGCGATTAGTAACCGATTTGGTGTAGGTTTGGAAGTTTTAATAAACTTTTCATATAGAAAATACATATGTCAATATATCACCGAAAAATACATATATGTATGTACATACATATATCCAGCATACATACTACATATATAAGTGGATGCATGTTTATATGAATGTTTCTTGGTCATAATTTAGATATATGGGTAACCGCAAGGATTTCCACTTTAAGGATTTTTTAGCTATTACAACAGTTCAGTAAAAATACATATATGTATGTACATACATATATCCAGCATACATACTACATATATAAGTGGATGCATGTTTATATGAATGTTTCTTGGTCATAATTTAGATATATGGGTAACCGCAAGGATTTCCACTTTAGGGATTTTTTTAGCTATTACAACAACAGTTCAGTATGTACATAAATGTTAAAAATTTTGTTTTATACTTTTATGACCGTTTTTTAGTAGATTTTAAAATTTATCTGCGCTTTGCAAAAATTTTTTTTCTGAAAAAAATGTGTTTGAAGGTATGCTTTAAAATTTATACATTTCTGTTTAAAGGGCAGATAAATTTTAAAACCTACTTCAGTAAACGGCCCTTAATATTTACGTTTTTCCTTAAAAAAAAAAAATAAATAAATTTTTACGATTTCTGTTTATCACTCAAAGATTTTATATACTCCAATCCTTTAAGTCTAATTGAACTGACTTTAAAAAGCAACTGTTTGATTAGCCTGTAGCTTTCCCCCATTTTGGCCGATTGAACTGAATTTTTTATAAATTAATAAACCAGCGCGTCTCGCCACAGCAATGCGTTGACCATCACCCACGTGATTGTGAACATCTTCAGAAAATGACGGGAATTTAATAAAAAAAAACACAAAAGTACAACAAATTGGATCCTCACCATTTGTTACATAAAGATCATCGCCAATGGTTTTCAAACGACTTCTACATTTCTTGGAACGATTGTGAATGCATTCCCAGTATACCTTGTCGCTATTTCTCCCGAAACGTTTTAAATTCGAGCGATATATAAAATCGTTTATCGCAAGTAAGGTTCCACCTTTCCGACTAATTATAAATAATTGTGGGCCGCAGTTTCGAACGTGCTGCATTACTGAAAATATAATTTAGAAATTTATATTTTAGTAAAGCTCTTAATAGATTTCTTTAGATGCAAAAATTTTACTTTAGGTTTTAAATTACATATTGTTGCACAAGATTCAAATTTATATTTATTAGGTTTATTAAAAATTCTGTAACTGTTTATATGATGTTTTAAGGCAACTTTTTATACATTTTTTTGCATGAATGCATGTATATGTGTGATATAAGAATGTTTATTTAAATACTACAAAGAATAGAAGTGCTTCTCGTAAACGACGTTTTATTTTCTCACGAAAATAGTCTGATAATCCCGATGCAGTAATTTTTGAAAGCTTTTGGGACTCGTAAACATCTTCCAAGTCTTCTATTCTTTGCGCTCCATTTATTGCTAACAAGGTACCTCTTAGTTTTCTAATCAACATTTTTACGAATAAATATTCGTTAAAGGTATTGGTACAAAATTTCTTATAAGTATATAATTGTTGAAACATGAAGTTTTATATCAATATCGCTTCCTGTTAATTGTTGGTCAAAAAAAATATGTCGAGGTTATTTTAAAATCTGATATTGTGGCTTAAGGCACTTTCAATTCAAGATTATTTACGAATTGTAGTAGAAAACATATATGTAGTTATAAAAATAGGGTTCAATAAGTTTTAATTAATCATTTCTTTTTGCCCAAAAGAGCCTTCTGTAAGCGTCGTTTTATTTTCTCGCGAAAATCGTTTGTGTCTGATGAATCTGCAGTCTCCACTGTTGAAACCTCGTTTGTTTCCGACAAAAATTCTTGTGATTCATTCACCTGGGTAGAATCAGTTCCCTCTTCATAGGCAGCATTATGTTCTTGTTCCTTACTATCATCGTCATCGAACAGGCCTGCAGGTTCAAAGGTCATAGAGGTTACACTTTTGTCCGTTGCCTGCATGAAATGGACGTGCTCTCCATCCAATGGGAAAACGCGTTTCTGGTCAGTGACTACACGAACCTTGCATTCTTGCATATTTTCTTTAAAACAGCATTGGAAAATTGAATACCGCCCTCTTCGGAATGTAAATCTGAAATGATGCCCTTCGTATATGAGTTTCATGCCACCTTTAGTAGTTGAGGCGTATAATGCAGGTTCACCAGGTCCCTGCTGTACGGCGGCTAGTACTTTGTCCACAAGTCTTCTATCATCCCTTGGTTGTTTAGGTGGCCGTCCACGTTTGCCTTTACTCGTAGTCGATTGGTTTTCATTTCCCGGCGAAGTTTTACACACAGAATGCAATGCACCTGTCGCCATGGAACTGCCTGAAAATTTATAATAAGTAATGTTTGAAACCCATTATAACACGTTTTATAACTTTAGAATATCTCTAATAATGAAATAAAACAACAAATATCACAATTGTGACAAAAATATAAATTTATTTATTTTTGGGAAGGATGGGAGAAATTCAGTTTGCGTCACGCGTCATTCTATTCGAAAGTGCAGGGCAGAGCAGCAAAACTGTCGATTGTACTATCGATAGTATCGATAGTTTTATTTTTGGAAAAAAAATTTGATTCGGCGCATATTCATAGTCATATTTAGTACTCAACTAAGTCGAAACTATTCTAAGTCAATTCTAAGTCACAACTAAAGCTATTAATATTCGCCTTAGTTTCGACTTTTCTGGCTAAGTACCAACTTAAATTTTAGTTTCGGCTGCAGCTGCAACAAAAGCGAAGCGCACATTGGCGCGATTCTGTCGTTGCGAATCCGCAAG